CACATCCAAAAATTGTTTTCAATATGAGGGATGCCTTTTTTGGCTCCCAAAGAAGTGAAAGTGCAAAAAACAATGGAAAAGAAAAAAGGTGAGTTTACTTTTATGTTAGTATTATTACTCAATATTTAGAAGTATGTAAATATGTAATGTCTCATAGCAGAATAATATTGTATCTTTTGTCATGTAATTATTTTAGAAAGCCTAAACAAAAGGGGCAAAAGAAGAACAACTAAAATCTTGTAAGTAAATTATCAAACTCTCTACATGGACAACTTTTTTCATAGGCAACATAATGTTTAGTACAAGAGAGTCAAAATTTTTAAATATAGATCACCTATAATGACTTCTTAGAATTGTTGTTTTTGCTAATATAGTTATCAAAAATTTCATATGGTGAATTGAACAAATCTTTTGTTTAAAGTAGTTCATAAGATACATTTGAATGGCAGATTGGTTTTAGCAAATGTATATGATGTATTTTGTTGGGTTTAGCTAATTTATAAGTTCAACACTCTATCTATGATTTTTCATGACTTTTATATATTTTTCATTATTTGTTAAAAAAGAAGTTGAATGTAAAAAGATCGAGAAACTCAACACGAATTGAGTGTAAACACTATCATTTTTCATGTTGACACTACACATGAAGAATGTAAGAATTTGCACAGGGTAAAATATATAAGTATCGACATTTATATTATGGTCTCAACACTTTTACTACATTGTTCAAATCAACTCTAAGTTAATAGTCACCTTTCATTTTTGACACGTTAGTAATTTGGGTGGTCCTATAAACAAAATTCGTCTACCAACTCAATACTAACACACAATTAATTCTTGAATGGTAAAATAAAAAAGATAGTACCCTTAATTAGAAATTTTTTAAAAGATTATATCCTTTAATGTGTGAAATCTTCATTTATATAATAGAATGTCTAACATTAATCATATGATCAAAAATAAAATTCTGGTATGATTTAAACTATATGTTATCTATTTTATGATTAAAATCAAATATTGTAATATTTTTAAATATTTTTTTGACAAATAACATTGTTCAATATTAAAACATTCTAATTCTTCATTTTCTTTATACATATGTACCTAATTTGAAATATAAATTCACATTAAATTTGAATATATGTTGTTAAATGCAACCAAAATGTATTTCTTGTCATAGCAAACTTGCCAAATCCAGTTGGCTTTAGATCATAACAACCAAACAAAGCCAAAACACAATATTATTATAGATACAAAGGTAGTAGTAAGAATTTGATCAAATTGGTATTATTGAAAAAAATGATTTAAAATAAAAATCAAGAATTCAAACTCTTTTAGTACCAAACAACTAGCTTCCAACATAAAGTAACACCAAAAAAAAAAAAATACAATTGCTCCAATGGCGCCTTTACCCTAAAAAGCCGATACTAATTTGCTTGAAACCTAAATTGACTAATTTTCACCTTTAATTCATCATTGATGGAAGTAGGTTAAATACCCTTTTTGGTCCATCTACTATAGGAAAAAGTCCTTTTTTGGTCCTTGTACCGAAAAAATCCCTTTTTTAGCCTTACTGTTCACAAATCCGACCCCTTTTTAGTCCTTCCGTTAAATTTTGGCTGATGTGGCAGGTTAATTAACGGAAAACTCATTTTGTTTTTTTTATTAAATTACGTGGAAAATCCATCTGGCAAAAAATGATGACATGGTTAAATTTTTTACTTTTAATTACTGATTTGCCCTCAAAGATTGATGACATGGTAAAATTTTTTTCTTTAATTACTAATTTACCCTCTTCTTTCTTCCCCATCCTCTCATTCCTCCGGCTTTTTCTTTTTCTTCTTTTTCTCCTTTTACCTCTAGGCGAACCCAGGAGTCTGGGTTCGCGAGGAGCCCAGCTCGCGGGTTCGCACCTAGGAGCTTGGGTTCCTCGCGAACCCAGCTCGTGGGTTCGCACCCAGGAGCCTGGGTTCGCGAGGTGCGAACCCACCCGGGTTCGTGAGGTCCTTGCGAACCCACGAGCTAGGTTCGCAAGGTGCAAACCCACCTGGGTTCGTGAGGTGCGAACCCACGAGCTGGGTTCGCACCCATGAGCTTGGGTTCCTCGCGAACCCACTTGGGTTCGTGAGGTGTGAACCCACGAGCCTGGGTTCCTCGTGAACCCACAAGCGAACCCACCTAGGTTCGTGAGGTGCGAACCCACGAGCTAGGTTCGCACCCACGAGCTTGGGTTCCTCGCGAACCCAGCTCGTGGGTTCGCAAGGTGCAAACCCACCTGGGTTCGTGAGGTTCGCACCCACGAGCTGGGTTCGCACCCACGAGCTGGGTTCGCACCCTTTTTCTCCTTCATATTAACACTAGTTGGTTCATTTTGTTTGTTCATTATGGCTGCTTTTAGGTTTTGCGAACCCAGGCTGTTGGGTTTGCCTAAAGATAAAAGAAAAAAAAGAAAAAAAAAAGGCTGGAGGAAGAAGAAGCTGGGGAAGGGGAAGAAGATGAGGGTATATCAGTAATTAAAAGTGGGATTTTCCACGTGGATTTAGCATGTCATCAATTTTTGTCACGTGGATTTTCCACGTAATTTAATAAAAAAAAGGAATGAGTGTTTCCGTTAAGGTTAAATACCCTTTTTGGTCCCTCTACTATAGGAAAAAGCCCTTTTTTAGTCCCTATACCGAAAAAATCCCCTTTTTGATCCTTACTGTTCACAAAT